GAAGGTATCACACGGCAGGCAGACGCACATCAAGCTCTAAAAGAAATGCATATCAGTCGGGCATTAATCATGCAACAACCCTTAATACGGGTACTAAGGATCAATTATCCTACCATCTACAATTAGTTAGCTTTACACCTCTATACATCCAACTTGTAGCACACTGATTGATCTCGCTATGACACGCGTCCGACTTGTAGCAGTGGCGGTCATCCTTGTTGTGTCCATGTGGTCGGCTTTGCTACATTGTCCGTATGACTTGTTGTCTTGACATCATTTATGTAACTGGTTTTGCAGCACGACAGTCCAACTTCCCAATAGAAAAATAATAGCGGCGACTGATGTTACATTAGTGTGCTGCCGGATGTTGCAAGCAATTTGCCTTCCAACGTTGTGTTCTGCTTTGAGCAACATCAGCGGGCCTAAAGCTGTTGTGTGTGCCGTTTGCAGCAATAATGCTCGATCAAAAGTTACATGTAGATCAACCGGGTATTTTTTTCTTCAAAAAAGTAAAACTTAATAACGGCAAAAACACCGAGAAATAAAAACATTCCCCTACACATTGAAAAAGTTAACCTGCTACCCAAGGTCGTTTGCTTCTTTTTTCGTTTTTGAGTAGTTCGCGAGCGAGACCTGATTGATCCCATGGAAAGAAGGCAGCAGCATCTCTCGTGTTGCACACATCTCGGGATTTGTTTTGTCAGTGCGCATTAAGAGTCAGCCATCACTCCACCAGCTATATATACCACTCCAACCAGGTATCTTATATCTTTTGTTAGTTAGATTCACCCATACCATACACTCCATGGGACATACAAGCGCATCCCGAGCCTACAATCCAGCCATACTTCCCACATTTCCGTTTAGAGCCAACATTTAATTCTTTCGGCAGGCTCTTTTTCAACAATTTTATTTAATTAGAGCCAACCTTAATTCCTTCACTCCTGCACCATACCCTTCCTTGGGCTTGATGATTACTTGACAACTATCCAGCGTATATAAACTGGTGGATTTTTGTGGATCAAAGCGAGGTGGGATAAATATTCAAGCAAACCCACTCTATCTAAAAAAATGTTCGCGCTTTTTCAATTTTTAAAAAATGGTTCTGTTTTGTATTTGGATATAAATTAAAAAATATTCTGGAGTTTGAAAAAATGTTCATGCTTTTCAAAGTTTGTTTGGAATGATTTTGTTCTATTTTTCACAACTTTCAAAAAAAATTCAGAATTTCAGAAAATGTTCCCGTTTTCAGAGATTGTTCACAAATCTTGAAAATGTTCATGTTTTCATTTTCAGGAGTTTCAAATAATGTTCCCGTTTCCAAATTGTTTGAAAATGTGTTTAAAAACGTGTTTTCAAAATTTGTTTGGGATTTCCAATAATTGTTGGAATATTTTTGTTCAAAATTTTCACAAGTTTTCAGAATTATTATTAGAATTTGAAAAAAATGTTCCCATATCTACAAGTTGGTCATTTTTTTAAAATGTTCATGTTGTAATTTCTTTTCCGGAGTTTTAAATTTTTTTGTTTTCAATTTTGGTCGCAAGTTTCAGAAAATGTTTGCGTTTCCACGTTTTGTTTTGGAATTAAAAAATGTACCTGTGTGAAAAAAGTGTTCAAGATTTTAAGAAAATGTTCGTGTTTTTAAATACTATTTGATTTTTAAAAAAATATGTTTACAAATTTGTAAAGTGTTTGTGCTTCATTCTGGTATTTGTTTCAAAAATAGTTGATATCGAAATTTAAAAAATATTCGTTTCTGCGTTGGTGATTGGTTCTTAAAACTTTTCACTGCTTTTTGACCACCAAAGCTCGGTAGGTCAATTGGTTGGAGTGTTATGTATGTAATATGACATCCTGGGTTTGATCCCCAACGTCCCATGATGGACGAAAATTATAGACGAACGAAAAAAATTAACCCCAACATCTCATGACGGACGAAAATTAGGTAGGTCCCACCGTAAAAGAAAAAATTACCACGGGACTAAGAATATTATGACCAAACCAAGATTACCTATTCCCTTTAATAGTAGGTATAGATAACTGCACCAAGTAAATACCTGGCTTTTAGATAACAAAATGCACATGGCCAACAAGTCCTAAAAAAAGCATAAGAGGTACTATTTTATAGAAATACTCCCTCCGTCCCATAATGTAAGATAGGATTGTACTCCTTTATTTCCTAAGACACTATTTTATACATGGAGTACAATCCTAAACTCCATGTCCGAGAAAATCTATTTTTTTTGTTAGACATTCTTGAGTGTTCTCCCCACGTATAAATGTCCATGAAGAGCTCACATTCATGATGCTTTGTGTAAAAGAAAAACGTACACCTCAAAATGTTTAATAAACGAGCTTTTTCATAGTGCTTCTTTTTGCTAACCACGTTGAATTTTTTTCTTCAAAATAATTTTGCATGGGAGTAGAACATTCAGTCATGTGTGTTGTAAAAAAATAATCATATTTTATACAAAAAAAATCTTGGGTACAAATTATTCACTCTGTGCGTTCGGTTTATTCGGTTCACATGGTTCGGTTTATACGGATTTTTGGTTTGTATGGTATTAATGCTTCGGTAAATACGGTATGAAATTAATATACAGTTCGGTTTCGGTATATATCAAATTATTTTGGTATGGTTTCGGTATATACCATAATAACCAAAGTTGACGTGAATTTGAAATAACGTAATAATAATTTGCAAATTTATGACTCAAAACACATACTATCTTACACAAATAGTATATAAGAATATATGCATGCATTGATTCATCCGTTGATGGCTATGGACTTGCTTAGCATTTTAAAAAGAGAAAAATGACTAAGTTACAAGAAAAAATTACGTGCTTAATAGTGAATTTGACTCATGTACAAGAAAAATGACAACTTGTAAAGTTGTTCATCTCAAGAAATATAAATTTATCTTTTACTTTTGTTTATTCGGTTAACCGTTCGGTTTTTCGGTATATACCAAAAAAATCAAAGTTCAAATCGGTATGAAAAGTTCATACCATACTGAAACCAGAAACCATAAAAACCGTAAAATTGGTTCGGTTCAGTTTATTTTCTATATGGTTTTTCGGTTCGGTTTTCAAGTGCACAGAGTGACAAATTATACATGGACTACAATCCTGGACTCCATGTCCGAGACCGAAAAACCATTTTATAGAATGTTAAATAAAGAGTTGCCTAGGACGTAGGAGACCCAATTCGAAGACTACACTCTAGTGCACTCTTGCTGCATGCTGCTCTATCTGTTTACACTTTTTTTTTTCTTGAACAACACAACTATTTACACCTTTTCTGTCCAGCACATATGTTTCTACACACAAAAAAAACGTAACACACGGTTGACAATTTGTCTTTATTGGCGTATATCTTTATTCGGTGATTCAATACATTCACGGAGCTCTCGGAATATGTGGTACACAAGTTTACGAATGTGGAACATTGCACCTCACCTCAGTTCACTAGCCTCATGAAAAACTTGCGCTGAATGAAAGGAGGCTAGTGGTGGACACCGAAATCAGCATTCTCCCAATCACATAACCACATATATATAGGAATAAAAAACAATGGAAGGTTATAAAAGAAATAATGAAACATGGAAGCAACAGTGGAAGCCCATCGACATGCATATAAGAGCAAGGACAATAATAGAGCCAACTGACTGTCAATATCTTGTTGCCATATTATCTATAGCCAACATTATATAGTCAAAAAATCCCGGCAAAACAAAGTATCAACTACTCCCTATCGCACCGTTTTCATTTTGAAGCTGCCAAACCCCCTGCAAGAGCAACTGGTTCTGAACTGCACACATGTCATTGTTAGTCATTTTGTTGTTGGTAACAAAGTTTCATTTGTTATTAGCTAAACATATATCCTCATGACAACTTTCTCTTGAATGAGTTGGACTTTGTTATGCTTCACCTGTTACTCTCTTAGATGGCTTTATTTGTTCCAGACAGCAAAGGAAATTTTGCGTGACAAGTTTTTTTAGTTGGCTCTGGACTGTCTAGCCAAATCTGCCTCCCCTGTAATGTAATATAGGTAGTGTAAATCCTCTGATCATCCCAAAATCAAATAGCAGAGATTTCTTTTCCGCTGGCGCGGGTTGGCATATTGATGTGGTACAAGTTCCTGCTGGAGCTGCAATCTGCAACTTCTTCGAGGCATGCAAAAAGAAGAGTGCCATCCATCAAATACCATCTCCAGGCCTGGTTAAACCTCACATTGACGAAAATTCGCACCATGGACCTCTTGTTGTGTATCTCTGGCCGAATGTAACAATACGCTGAACCAAGCTGTAGATTACTGTCTTCCATCTCCCATGAGCAGTGCGACAGGCTTCCACTCATCAGATATAAAAGAGCAGAACTCGATTAATTTGCACCCTTTTCATTCAGTCACATTCCAAGCAGAGAACCCATCAAGAATTCGAATGACACCCTCCTGGGCCTGAAATGAGCATACAACATGGAGTTTGTGAGTATATAAGACAGAAACAAAAAGGTTCACAATTTCCCTTTCCTACACCGTCATCGCAATCCACCTTCGCTTCCATTGATTCGGTCATAATGACAAAGACAAATTCAGAAAGCAAAGTCTACCACCAGAATGTTTCCCAAAGACCACAATCTGGGTCCAGGCAAGGCGGCAAAGACGCATTATGAAAATGGAGAGCCTCAACAAGTCAAGATTTTTTCCTGTAAAGAAAAACAAGTCAAGAATTTGAATATCCAAGGGCAAACAAATCATCATATACTGGTAGATAAATAGGCAATTAGTTACTCGGTAAACTGAAAGAGAGAACCATGCGGCCAGATTACAGTACACACATAATTCAGCTACACCGCGAAGTCCACACCAATCAAGTATTCTTAAGCTACCAATAACTAGAAATCAGAATTACTACTGGATGTGCCTCACACAGTCATTGCTCTAGCTCCTGCAAGCCTGTGAGCGTTATGAAACTACCAGCATTCCTTGACATATCAGATAATTATCTCCACAAATGAGGATGATTCATGCGCGAGTCGCTCCTTAATCCGGCGCCTGCTAGCTTTGTCCGCCTTGGATCTGTCAAGGTTGGTGGCATTGCAGTCCCTGCATGGGAATTCATCCTGCAGCTTGATTATCAACGGCCGCACAGCTCGTTCCATCACAAGCCTTACATAGTTTGTCACCTTGTCTTCATCCTCGCACCCTTGGATCCCCAGCAACTTCAAGTTTAGGTGCTTGAAATCCTTGGATGGCTCCCACATCACGTTGGTCTTCTCGGCACTGTTGTCGGGCGTCTCGATGCATGAATGTCGAGATAACTTCAAGCAAGGACATAGAAAGTAAATAACTCATGTTAATTAAACTTGCCACCAACCCATGAAGGACAACGTGACAACAATTGCAATTAAATATAAGTATAGGCCCCTAGATTTTGGAGAAATTTGCATGAATTAAATCCTAGGTGAAGTACGACAAATGAATATGCTTCCGGGGTTCTTATGAAATTACAACTATATTCCTCGTATTTCTTTCGACCAAGATACTTTGAATAATAAAGAATTTCCATCAAGAGGCGAGGGCTTTCCTCCTCGAGAAAAAACATTGGAAGAACTTTTGGAGAACTCTTAATGTTGAACCGGTATGGGCCCTAGCCCATCAAGATCTGTCTCTTGGGCCCAAGCCCATGAGAGGTGCTGACCTAGAAGAGGAGCCCCTCTTCCCCCTGCCCCCGTGTGAGCCGCCAGACACGAGAGGAACCACTCGTGAGTCACCAGACACCACCTGCTCTCCTCTCTGTAGGTACTCCCCCTCTCGTCTCAACATGGTATCAGAGGCCAGCGACGGCGGGGCCTAAGGAGACGGCGGCGACGTCCGGCGAGGTGGCGGCGGATCTGGCGCGCGCGGGGGAGGCTGCGGAGAGCTGCACGCACGAGAGACGCGGGGAGCGGCTCGGCAGAGCTGCGCGGGCGGCTGCTGCTGCTGCTTCTTGGACCGGAGGCAGAGCCCCTGCTCGAGCTCTTCCTCGTCCTCGGGCGGCTGCAGAGGAAGAGGAGCTGCTCGGGGTGGTTGCTTGTGACGCCCCCGATTCAATCGTACACTAATCATGCACGCAAATGTGTACGATCAAGATCAGGGACTCACGGGAAGATATCACAACACAACTCTACAAATAAAATAAGTCATACAAGCATCATAATACAAGCCAGGGGCCTCGAGGGCTCGAATACAAGTGCTCGATCATGGACGAGTCAGCGGAAGCAACAATATCTGAGTACAGACATAAGTTAAACAAGTTTGCCTTAAGAAGGCTAGCACAAACTGGGATACAGATCGAAAGAGGCGCAGGCCTCCTGCCTGGGATCCTCCTAACTACTCCTGGTCGTCGTCAGCGGGCTGCACGTAGTAGTAGGCACCTCCGGGGTAGTAGTCGTCGTCGACGGTGGCGTCTGGCTCCTGGACTCCAGCATCTGGTTGCGACAACCAGGTAGAAGGGAAAGGGGAAAAGAGGGAGGAAAGCAACCGTGAGTACTCATCCAAAGTACTCGCAAGCAAGGAACTACACTACATATGCATGGGTATATGTGTAGGGAGGCCATATCGGTGGACTGAACTGCAGAATGCCAGAATAAGAGGGGGATAGCTAACCCTGTCGAAGACTACGCTTCTGGTAGCCTCCGTCTTGCAGCATATAGAAGAGAGTAGATTGTAGTCCTCCAAGTAGCATCTCCAAGTAGCATCTCCAAGCATCGCATAGCATAATCCTACCCGGCGATCCTCTCCTCGTCGCCCTGCGGAAAAGCGATCACCGGGTTGTCTGTGGAACTTGGAAGGGTGTGTTTTATTAAGTATCCGGTTCTAGTTGTCATAAGGTCAAGGTACAACTCCAAGTCGTCCTGTTACCGAAGATCACAGCTATTCGAATAGATTAACTTCCCTGCAGGGGTGCACCACATAGCCCAACACGCTCGATCCCATTTGGCCGGACACACTTTCCTGGGTCATGACCGGCCGCGGAAGATCAACACGTCGCAGCCCCACCTAGGCACAACAGAGAGGCCAGCACGCCGGTCTAAACCTAAGCGCACAGGGGTCTGGGCCCATCGCCCATAGCACACCTGCACGTTGCGAGGGCGGCCGAAAGCAGACCTAGCCTAGTGGCGTTCCAGTCCAATTCGGCGCGCGCCGCTCCGTCGCTGACGTCTGAAGTGCTTCGGCTGATACCACGACGTCGGGATACCCATAACTACTCCCACGTAGATGGTTAGTGCGTATAGGCTCGTAGCCAGACTCAGATCAAATACCAAGATCTCGTTAAGCGTGTTAAGTATCCTGCGAACGCCGAACAGGGCCAGGCCCACCTGTCTCCTAGGTGGTCTCAACCTACCCTGTCGCTCCGCCACAAAGTAACAGTCGGGGGACGTCGGGAACTCAGGCCCACCTCTACCGGGATGGAGCCACCTGTCCTTTCAGCCCCCTCGTCAGAATCACTTGCGGGTACTCAATGAGCTGACCCGACTTTAGTCACCATCTGTATAGTATGTATGTATGTATAGTATATACCCGTGATCACCTCCCAAGTGATCACGGCCCGATAGTATAGCAAGGCAGACTGACAAGAATGTAGGGCCAATGATGATAAACTAGCATCCTATACTAAGCATTTAGGATTGCAGGTAAGGTATCAACAGGTGTAGCATCAATGTCAGGCTATGCATCAGAATAGGTATAACAGAAAGCAGTAACATGCTACACTACTCTAATGCAAGCAGTATAGAGTAGAATAGGCGATATCTGGTGATCAAGGGGGGGGCTTGCCTGGTTGCTCTGGCAAGAGAGAGGGGTCGTCAACTCCGTAGTCGAACTGGGCAGCAGCAGCGTCGGTCTCGTAGTCTACCGGAGAGAAGAGGGGGAAGAAACAATGAATACCAAGTAAACAGATGCATATCGATGCATGACATGTCAAGAAGCGATGCTAGGCGTGCCCTAACGCGGTATGAGGTGGTACCGGTGAAGGGGGGAAACATCCGGGAAAGTATCCCCGGTGTTCCGTGTTTCCGGGCAGATGAACCGGAGGGGAAAAGTTGCGAGTTCGATAGGTTAGGGGTGCGTGGCGGACGAACGGACTGCGTATCCGAAATCGTCTCGTCGTTCTGAGCAACTTTCATGTTGAAAATATTTTAATCCGAGTTACGGATTAAAAGATATGATTTTTAAAAGATTTTAACAATTTTGGAATTTAATTATTTATTTAATTAATTCGAAAAAATGTATTTATGACGTCAGCATGATGTCATGCTGACGTCAGCAGTCAACAGGGGTTGACTGGTCAACCTGACCAGTGGGTCCCACTGGTCAGCGATACATTTTTAATTAGACATTTTAATTAACCTAATTAGTGTTAATAGGGGGTGGGCCCCACTGTCATACTCTGTTAGCTAATTAACAGTAGTTAATTAGGTTAATTAGTCATTAGATTAATTAATCTTAATTAGCTAGGTTAATCAAAATTAATTAAGTTAATTAATTAGTTAATTAATTAATTATTTTTATTATTTATTATTGATTTATTTTTTTTCTTATATTTTTTTTTAACTCCTCTTTTTTTTTCGTTCTGGGGCTGGAGGCCCCACATGTCTGTGGCCCATAGGGGCCCTTAGCGGGCACGGGCACTGCAGGTAACAAGCGCGGGCGTGGTGGCCGGCCCCCAACAAGGCGCCCGAGGGGGGCGCCGGCGAGGCGCAGGGTGGGTCGAGGCTGGCGGGGCGCCACCGGCGACCGCACAAGCGGCAGCAGGGCGTAGGGGGCCCAGGGTGGCACGTAACGAGGAGGACAAGGCACGGGGAGGCAGCCGTGGGTTCAGGGGAGGGGGAGCAGCGGGGGAGGCCGATGGCCACGGCGAACTAGGCAGGGCGCGGGGTCTTCGAGCGGTGCAGTGGGGCGAGGCCACCATGGTGACGGTGCACGCGCAGCCCGACTAGTCCCCGACGCCGGCTGGGGCGGAGGAGGGCGCCGGCCAAATGCTCGCGGGGGCGCGCGCGGGGTAGCGCGGGGGAGACAGAGAGGAGGGAGGTGCGGTGCTCACTGCGGGGAGTAGGGCCCGGGGCAGTGGGGGTCGAGGAGGAGTCGGGGA